TTCATTGTTATTTATTACTATACTTACTGCTAATGAACTGCTGTTGCAAATTGATGCATATGACAGGATCCAAGCAATAACTCTTCTTGCAAGATGTGTACTGACTTGTAGCGTAGACTCCCTTTAGTTCTGCTACCTATATGGCTGAATGAGGCTAACCTCCTACCACTTGTCTCTGTTCCAACTTGTATGAGACAAGACTCTGTCTGAATACACTAACTTTGTTCCCTGGGGGATTATTGTTGTACACTGGTCTCCTGGATCCTGGGGACCTTGTTAAAAGTGCCTGCTCTCTGGACCCCAGAGGTTCTGATTTGCTTAGTCTAGGGCTGGATCCCAAGAATGGGTTATATAAACAAGCACTGTGAGTGATTCTGATGTAAATGGTGTGAATATTTGTGTGAATACTTCTATCACTTTCCAAGATTATTGTTGACATGGAAATATAAAATTTAAGCTCTTTACAAACAACCTGGGTTGAGAAACCCTGCCATCCTTCTCAGATTTGTATCATCTGCAGATAAGCCCACCTTGCACTTCCAAGTTCCTGATAAACATCTTGAACAGGAAAAGAGTCAATAGAGGAAGCTTTTTAAAAAAATGGCTTTGACTTATTAAATGCCAAGATTTATTACAAGGAACACAGATATTCTAGATGGTATTCTGATTGATTCCCAGAACATTCTGGAAGCTGTGGACTAGAGTGGAATCCCATTTGCAGGTTGTACGCACACTGTTAAAGTAAGCAAGTACAGTGAGGTAATTAGAAAGAGAAAAAAAAAGTGCTGGAAAGTAGGGATCAAATTAAGAAGCAAAGCTGAAAATTTTTTTGGTGTAGTCATAGCTGTCCATTTCTTAGTTTATAGGTTAACTATGGCATGTTTGCCTGAAGAGAGAGTTAATAAACCAGACATCTGAATGTGTCTTATTACCCATTTTTTTCTTCTTCAGCTAATTCTTTTTTTTTTTTTTCTTCAGCTCTTTCTTGTTGATTGCTGTTAAAACAAAATATAATAGCTGGTTAGGATTATTTACAACTTTATAGGAGAGAGGCTTGCTGGCATTTATTTTATGTCTTTTGGGGGAAAGTGATTGAAATGTTAAGTGTCTTAGTAAAACCCAGTACTGATCATGTTTGGGATATCACTGTGGTCTCCGATGGTGAACAGTTTGGGAGTTGAATTTAGTAATTTTATAGATTACCAACTTCCATTCTTTGTATTTTGCCATTATATATAAACTGGCCAAATACAAAATAGTCTTAATGGATTTCTATTTTTACTCAAGGGGAGAAGATAATTGAGCATTTAAACTTTATAAAGAACTGAGGATTAGAATAACCTTATTTTTTTTTAAATTATTCTATTTAAAAGTGCTGAGATTTCTAAAATATACTTGAAATGGAAATATTTTTTTAAAAACCCAATAAGTGTATATTTTAATACAGTGGAATTTATACAATATGTATTGGCCCCACCTTTATGACCTGTATTTTTACCAGAGTATAACCTACAGAGGAGGCAAATAGGAAATTCTGATGAATAGGAATGATTTTTTAAAATGATGTGTAGGCATGTCTAAACTTGTTCCCACTCATGTGTACATATTTTTGTACATTTTATGCTGCATTTATAATTATGGGTGGTTTTTTACTTCATTTTGCATCTGTGCTCTGCATGTATGCAGACCCCTGAAATGATGTATACAAACCCTGAATGAAGAGAGCATCTGGAAGCCTTAATGAGCTATAAACTTGACAGTATTCTCAAGCCCTAGAAACTCTTAAACATATTTTTATTTCATAAGAATAAGCTTGCTACTTTTGAATTAAGCATTCATCTCCGCATTTCTCTTATTTATGGTCCCCATAAGGCCGTGGCAAAAGACTTGGTGTCCTGATTTCAAGGACTTGATATGCAATGGAGGTGCCTGACGTGATCCTGAACATACAAGACGCCTCAACTAGTTACTCCAAGTGTTGTTAACATCTTACTAAGGCATCTTAGGCTGAAAAACAGTCAACTTAAAGTACTGGAGAATATGGACATTTTTAAAAAGATCACGCTGCTTTATGTGACAGTAGTCTGAGGTTGTCAAAGAGGGCAAATGAGTGTTGCATGCCTATGAGGGTAGCCACCTTTGTAGGGTTTGGCTAGGCTTTCATATTCTTCTAATGCTGACGCTGAAAGGCAAAGTTCCGATGTATTCACTGGCCGGATTCTCCACCATTTCTTTCTGGAGTCTTGTCGATGAGGCTCACAATATGACACAATCTGCAAATTCTGCCTTTGCCTTGGCTATCAGGTTGGAATTACGTTGCTCTATAGGTAGCAGAGTACCAGTATCAATGAGTCAGTACGCTGTTGGCACTTGGGGTTCGGTGGAGGTTTGGGGGACATCCTGTCTCTGGCTTGGGATGAAGTTCCACACATGCATTATCTTACCAGAAGTTAGCTATGCTCCCTTTCTCTGTACCATGGCTAGAATTCTAGATGGCTTGTTAGCCTTCAGTAATATATTTTGTATGCAACAGAATAATTTCAGAAAGCCCATAAATAAGAATAATGTTTAAGGTAAGCCTTAGGACGGTGGTTGAGACCAGAAAGGGCATCGTGAGAACTAGGCTGGAGTCATGGAATCCTTCCCCATGTATCATGGATTATTTCAGTATCTGCCATGTAGATAATAGTAAACTAGAAATCTGATGAACTGGGTTCACTCTGCACTGGCTCTAGGACTGGGTGAAAAGCATTCCCTCGACCCAAGGACTACTTTTCTGTAACTTACTGAAAAAGCACCAGAAGGTTTTGTACTGGTAAGAATAAAGAATTCTCTGGGGCTATAGGAGGCTTCATTTTTGTTAGTGAGAGGAATGCAGGGAGGAATTAGTCTTTATGAAAGAAAGCAATTCCAACTGTAATGGGATCATCACCTTGCCTTCTACTTAATTTTGTTACTTTCCTTCTCTTTTCCATGTAGAAAAGCTCATAATTAAATTTCCTGATAAGAGTTAAAAAGGTTTTTCATTATTGCTTTTACTCAGCAGGTAGAGATGTGAAAATGTCTTTTTATTTTATAGACCCCTAGTACTTTTGAAGCACGAGGAATTTCGGAATTAATCTCTTATTTTATACACGAGGAAACTCAACTCTCAAATATAGTGACAACTTAGTTCATTAGCCAACATCCATTCATTTAGTGAAAATGTTCCGTGCTTGGCTTGCAGTGTACTCAGTGAGGCACCGTGGGAGACAGAGATGACGACGAGAGACTCCTGCATGATATTAATAAGGTAGAAGGAAAAGGATTTATTACAGAGATGCGAGCGAGTTACTGGTAGAGCTCTGTGCTGCTCACAAGTTTTTATTTGGCATTTCTTTTTCTCCATATCTGTGCCAGGAAAATCAAAAAAGAAGAGCTGAAAGCCTTGGTCAAGCCCAAAGATTTTCATAGTAATTACTTCCCAGATTTACTATTAAACTATGAAGCAGTATGGTTTTTACTCCAAATTTTGAATTCATGAAATATTCAGATAATTAGCGAGGTACTTCTAACTTGTAAAAAATAATACTTAGCATTCTAACATTTTCTCCCAAGAAAATAGACATCTGTACATTTTTGCTGATTTTCTCCATCACCAGAAAGATTAAGATTCGTGAATCAGGGAGAAAACAGTTTGCTTTCAATTAAAAAAAGTAGCAAAAATATGGCAATAAAATGAATGAAAATATGAAGCCATCTGTGTCTGAAATGATAATGCCAGCTTAGTGTTTGTTGTAAACAATACAGTTTGTTCAAGTCCACTTTTAAAGGAGAGTGTTTAAGTGTGCAAACAAGGAAAAAAAACCCTTTCTTCATTCACAAATCTTGTATGACGCACACACAGCCATATAGGTACAAACGTGAGATGTGTATATATGTCTGTAACACTCCTGTGGCCTGACAGAAAATTAATATAGGTAATCCCCAAATCTGTCTTCCAGTATTTGAACTATCACCACTACCTGTCGCATGACAGTTCAGGTCCTTGTTACCTGTGGTACTTGGAGCAATGCCACAGTCCCTTCCTATATCAGCTCCTTGTATTTGCCCCTCCATTCTCTGAGTCACCACATTATTTTTCCTTTAACAAAACTTCAGCCACGTTTTCTTGCTTAAAATTTCCCAAAGCTGCACTACTTCTACTGAATACAGATTCACAAACTCCATAGCAACATAGTAACCATGATTTTCCAATTTTCTCTCCCATGCAACCAGAAAAATGCCCCTTCCCCTTTTCTATTGCCTTTGCCCTGTCCTAAAAACCCAGGCCAAGTCTCCCCACCTCCAGAGGTTTCACTGACAGACCCAGCCTACTAATCTCTGCCACCTATTCTGCACCGCATCTTTGGCACCCAGTAGTAAATGCAATTATTTTCGTGAATCCATCCTGCCACCTTAAGTGAGTGGCTGAGCTCCTGAAAGGGTGACCAGGACTATTTAAAGAGGGCCTTAAACATTTTAATATATATGAGTTGGTTACTTGATTAGAGCTTATTGTGACATGACCTGGAATAATTTCACCTTTCACCTGTAAATCAGGAGCGTGAGCGCACCCCCCCATTTCAGCTGAAAGCCTGATCAATAATGACTTACTCCCCTGATAGACTGGGAAGCTTGGGAGACCACCTGTAACTTTGGATCTTGATGGTGGGGAGGAAGGAGAAAATGGGAAGGAGGGGGCTGCCGAAAGACAGGAAACCTCTTCCTTCAACCTTTAATTCAGGTGTTCCCTACTAACCTGATATTTCTTGAACACCCACCCTGCGCAAGACGCCGCCAATTTATTTTTTTCTTTAAAAAAGAAAAAAACAAAAAAGCACTGCAGCCCCTGAGCCAGTAAATTACTCACCTGATGGCCAGGAACACCCTCCCCCCCTCCCCCTTACAGGGGGTGTCTGGGAGGCATGAGGAAGGGGACAGAAAGTCTGAGCTGTAATCTAAAGTGGACATCCAAAGGCTAATGCTATTGGCAACGGTCTCGAGGCGTTGTCCCCGAGCCAGACCCTGCGCCAGGATGAAGAAGCCTGTTACAACCTAACTGTCCTGAAGTGCTGCGGTGGCCCCCTCCCCCGCAGCTGGGAGGCGACGGCAGGACGGGGTTGGCTTTCTCTGCGCCGGCTCTGGGCGTGTGCCCCAGCCGCAGCTCCGCGGAGCCTCCGAGCCGCCTGCAAAGGGGGGCGGGGGCGAGCAGCCCGCGTCTGCGGCTTCCTCCCCACGCCCGAGCCTCCTGCGCACAGCCGGGAGGACGCCAGCCCGAGCCTCGTCCCCACGCCGCGGCGCGCGGGCTGCCTGCCCAGCCGAGGTAACTTTTCTGGCAGCCGGAGCGGAGGGGGGGAGGGTCCGAGGGGGTCTCCGGTTTGCGAGGCGCGGAGGACTAGCGGGAGGCCGGGGGCGAGGCGCGCGCGGTGCGCGGCTGACGCGTGGCTCCGGCGCCGCACGGCCGACCGAACCGCGGGAGCCCAACACCCGGCCGGGCCCTAGGACCCGCTCGCCCTCCGGCCGGGACCCCCGCGGGGCCGGGCCAAGCCGGTGCGCTGCGCCCCCCACCGGGGACGTGCCCGCTCCGCCCGCCCGCAGCGCTGCAGCATCGGCTGGGCCGGCGCGCGGAGCCAGAGCATCGGCCTCCGGCCTGGGGGCCTTCCCCGGAGCCCTGGCCGGGAGGGGCGGCGCGGCCCCCGCGTCCCTTCAGTGCCAATTTGCCCAAATCCCCCGTTTGGGGCGCCATGTTTTAAGTTACCCCTGGGCGGGGGGCGAGGGCGAGGCGGGCTGCGCAGGGAGTGGCGGGGGACCGGGGGCGACACTGCGGCGCCGCCCGGGGCGGGTGGCCGCCGGGCGGGAGGGGCCCTGCGCCCACCGCGCCGCGGCTGCGGGGTCGTCCCGGCTGCCGGGCGCGGCGCGGGGCCGGTAAGGTGCGCTCGCCACAAAGCATCCCGGCTCGGCAGCGGGCCGGCGGCTTTTATGTAACTTGTCTGCTTCCCAGAACTGGGGAGGAGGAGGGAGCGTCTTAGAGAGGTTGCTCCTGGCCCGGCACCTGCGGCGTCCCTCGCCCCAGCCTGCGCTCCCTTGGCCCCCCGCAGGGGAGCCGGAGCGCGGCGAGGCGGAGGGGCCGGGAGCGGCACTGCTCACCTGGCGCCCGCGGGGCTGCGAGCTGCCTCGGGAGGTGTCTGCGAGGGCGGCTTTACCGCGCGTGGGGGTGGGGAGGCCGGGCCATCGGACCGCGGGAGTCGTGCTGTCGGCCAATTCCAGGCGGGTGTTTCCCCGCTCCTGCCGCGGTGGCTCGCTTTCTCGGCTTTCCCCTCTCATCTCGCCCTACTTCTTCCCCTCCCCCTTTCCTCTCTCCCCTCCAACCCCCGCCAAGTTCATGGCTTCTGCAATGCGGTGGGTGTGGTTACCTAGTAAATTGTAACTGGCCCCTTGCAGTGGGAGCAGTCTTTCCTTTTGGGGTTTTGTATTTACGGATCCAAAGTTTTCTAGGGTTTTCTTCTCTAGTTGCAGCCCAGGGTTAAAGCTGGGAAGAGATTGTTGGAGAACAAACAGAATGATAAAGAAAACATGTGGTATTAATTACGTGTGGAGGCTGGGCTGGGAAATCCTGAGAGGGCCAGGCGGTCCTGCTAATGCAGTGCTTCCATTACGTGTTTAAGTTGGTGTTTCAGTGTTTTTACATTAGTCTTGCAGTCCTGCAGAACTGCTTTTGCAAATATCCTGCCTGACCTTTTTGGGGGCCCATTTTAGGCTCTCAGAGGCAGCCAGGTGTCCTGGAGTTTCCCTTGGAAGCATCAACATCCCTAGTAGAAGAGTCATCACGCTAAGCGCTAAAAACATTCTTTTGGGGGTCTTACTCTGATATTTAAAGTCTCAAGAAATCCAAAATTACAAAATTCCACTTCTATCTGGGAGCCCTGGATCCAGCACCAATTACTGCAAATTAAGCAAAAACCCCATTAAGAAAGGGGAGCATCTCAAGCTTGAGTAAACTCTGGGGAATGGGGAGGTGATTTATATCTTGGCTCTAACAGGGTTTTTTAAAAATGCATCTTAATTTTGGTTTCAAACTTTTCCAAACTTCAGTTAGAATAATTGTGAGAGGAAATAAACTGAGATTGAGAAACAGTAACTTTAATTTGTTAATTTCACAAGGTACTGATGAAAAAATCTCTGAATACTGAATACTGTTCTATTTGCATTATAATTTTTTGGTGGTTTACAAAAGCAAAATATATCAGAGGCACAAGGTACTGCATAAAGTTCAGTTAGCTAATCCACTTCAGACAAATACTTTTTTGCAAAAAGAACATGTTTTGTGAATGATTTATCAGTAATAAAAAGAGTAGCCACATTATTTAATTTGTGAACCCCTTTTAAGTGAAGGATCGAGAAGATACAGGTCAAAGGTCAGTGTCAGCAAAGTATTTACATTTAATTTTCAAGTCATTCTGCATGAATGTGATTTTAGGTTAGAGGCAGTTTTTGCCAGTTCTTGTACAGGGTTTGGACTTTGGCCAACTGTGAATTGTGTTGAAATAGGAGACCAGGGATTTTTTTTTTTTTTTACTTGATTAGAAACTATTTTATGTATACATTGGTTTTTTTTTTTTAGAACTGGTTGGTCGAATGCATTAAGGGGCTGCCCAGATACAAGACAAGCAACCGTTCATGTACTGAGAGATGTAATATTGTCATCAGTTTGTGAATCTTTTCTGGATTTACTCTATGTTGGATTAAATATGGCAGGAACTTTTTGTCCAGGGTATGGTCTTACATGTTGTAATATACATATTCATCTTTTAAGTTAGTGCTTTAAAAAAAGTCTTAAAATTCACAAATTAGAATTCACATCCTCCTTGGTGAAGTAGAACTTCATTCAGGAGTAAGCCGAAAACTGTACATTTGAGAGAGAGAATTTGTGAGAATTTGGCTATAATGAAGAGAGAGATTACTTATTTACTTGACTGTCCTGGACATCTTTGGTTCCCATAGTGTCTTCCAAGTATCCAGACACCGTTCTGTCCTGAATGTCAGCTTTATTGTGGGATATAGACTTACTATTGAAAACCATGAATCAAATTCATCTTTAGCACCACTTCATTTAGAGAGATCTTTAGTGGTGCAATTGCTGCATCTATTTCTTTCAAAAGGCTTGCTAGCTGCTAATTTGTTGGGAATTCGTCAGGCACTCTTGGAGGGTTCTGCTTTCATTTGATTTGCCTTGGCAGCAAAGAATTGTGTGCTCAGAAGCAAGGACTGGAGCAGTGAAGTCATTGCCCTGCCTGGTGTTGTGACATCACTATGGCTCAAAGGAAACAAGGGTGGGGCAGGCAAAAACAGACGGTCTGAAGCATCTTGCTGGCTTTAACTTTGCCTGATAAATGAACGAGACTCTCCTTTCGCAAGTTGAACTGCACCATAAGGTATTGTTTGGAGGATGGGAAGGTAGATGTGAATTCAAGGCTGCGTAGGAGAGTGTGTTTCATAGATCAAGGAAGAAGAGGGTTTCTTTTTTTTTTTGTGAAATAGTAGAAATCATTGAATTTCCCTTTTATTGGGGAAAACACTATATGTAATCTTTAAAAAGGGCCATTTAAAAAATTATCCAGAGAGCAAGAAAATGAGTCTATATTTTTGTTTATGCACAGAGCCAGTATTTTTTTTTTTTACTATTCTTTGTACTAAAATAGCATTCTTGCTAAATTTTTGGTTTAGATAATTAGTATTGTCTTTTAAAAGTATGTGTTGTCTATAAAGATAGTGTGTTTTCTGGGTAGGCAGTGTTCTTTCCGATTTATTTTTGAGTGATGTGATTGCAATTGGCAATTGGTAATGATGGAAAAAGCTAGAGATCTCACAAGTTTACAAGATAATCTGCAGTGATTTGGGGTAATTGATTTCCATTTAAATTGTTCACAAATTATTTTATAATTTAACATTTTAATCCTAACTTAGATTTCTAGTGCACAGATGTTCACAGGCATGTTTCACCCAAATTAGTATTGAATAAATTACAAGAGGAAGTCTGAAATTCTGAAACTGTAAAGTACATTTCACGTTTTGATTTCTGCATGTAATGTGGCATGAACATGAAGAAGTGAAGACTCATGGAATAGCTGCAGATCTTCATTGTCTTTTCTGTACCTCCTTGGTCAAGATGACTATCATTTTTTTCATGTGAGTGTATTATGCATGTAGAGGCTCTGGGCAGTTCTTCACTGTGTAGCGCTTCCAGAACAATTTCCAAAGCAAGGGGGGAAAATGGGAAGAATGACACAAGTAGAGAAGTTGAAATTGCAGATCACTTGGTGGATATGTCTTCGGAATTGCATTTTTAGACCTTGCGGTGATTGGTTAAATTGCACACTTTAGAATTGTAAGCTTCTATTAGCACCAAACCTCTAATTCTTTTGTAATTTGCAGTGCAGAGAAAAAGCTGACAACTTAATTTTTAGATTGCTGACATTTTGATACATTGTTCTTACAGCTCTTCCTTACAAACTTAAAAAAGAAAAAAAAAGCAGCAGAAAGATCTGTACTGGACCTAGGAAAAAATGCAATATTTAACTGCTTCGTGTGTTTATTTTTCTCTCCAGTTTTACTGAGTGAGTGAGTGCATGATGTGAGTAGGAACTTATTTTTCTTGGAGTTTCATCCCCAAACCAAGTACAGGTCTAAACACTTATAGCATTGAGTAAATATTTATGGACTTGAATGAAAAATGAGGCCATTTGTAACTTATGCTTCACTACAAGAAATATTTGAAAAGGCTTCAAAGGCACTGCTGCTCCATTTAAAAATGAGAATTACTGGACCCATGTCTGCAGTCATTATTTTTAATGGCATGATCCTCTTCATAACAAGCTTGCTATTCTGCCCATAGCTTGAATGAGGGAGGTTCTGGAGGTTTTGCCATATCAGAAGAAAATACTGCAGGTACCTAGAGAAACAAGAATGGCTTCTTTAAGGGAAGGTCTGCAGGCGGCCGGCCTGCTTCCTTTCCTGCCGGCTCTAATTGGTGTCATGGAGGACATCATAGAGAGGGAATTCTCAGAAGATGAGGAGAGGGATTGGACTGGTGTGTGACACAAGCTGGAAATGGATTAGGGCTGGGTGATGATATGGATCCTGATGTTGGACTAAAAAGAGAAACTATTTTCTGTTGTAGATCTCTCCTCTTTGGTCATTTTTGTACATAGTGCTTACATTCTCAAACAGTGAGTTTCTCTGTGTCTTTGTGCAAACCCCAATGTCCTCGTTTCTACAACAAACTTATATTTTTGCATTTTAACACATGTGAGTTAGGGGTATGAC